TGGGTATTTTCTTTGGTTTTTAACACCAAAGTATAAATACAGAATAATGGTATAAACACATGCCCATACCTGGATAAGGAATCTTTCCATATGTAACGATTTCATACAGGAGAATCCCAAATGACCACACATCAGACTTAATAGTGAAAGATCCATAGTTAATTGCCTCTGGTGCTGTCCATTTAATGGGGAATTTTGCACCTAAAAGAACGTACAGTCTCAGTCAATCAAAGGCAAATTTTAACGCTTGATATCAAGTCACTAAAAGGTCTTAAGCAACTTGCCTATGATACCTCTAGACTGGCAAATTACCAGCAAGTCCTTCTGTCCAAGAGTTACCAGCAGATATGTGCTGCAAAGATGTGCCACGCTGCATGTCCTGTGTCAGAGTGTAAATAAGATGCCAAAAGTTGCAGAGCACCTTTTGACTCTTTGGTATGGTGAATTTCTGCTAAAATTACAGTCACCATTTTCCCTTCTGCCCAGTGACCAGGCAACAGTCTTACAACTCCCATCATCTGGAACTTCACAAGATTTTAACTAACATCTATTTCAAAGAAAGCCAGTTTAGCTTCAACGTGTACTTTAACGCATTTCCCATTCAGCCATAGATGCAAAAGCAGTAGCAAGTCATATCTTATAAAGTTGTATCTTAAAATACTGTCTTTAATGTCTAAATAACTGAATCCAGAAAATCCCATATAAAAGCAAACTCCTTCCAGTTAAATAAGAAAAGTTCAAGCAGCTTTTACATTAGCTCTCAGAGAAGTAATAGAAGCAGATTCTCTCTATGTGCTTTTTAGCCTGCTCTATCATTCTGGCACAAAACACCAGGTAAGCTAGGAAACTTTTCTGAATGGCACAAAATACATCAAAGGAACTCAGCATAAAGAATTTATAACCTGAAAGGTTCATTTAATCAATATACAATGTCCAGAACTAGCTAAAAACCACAGATATGCATTTTGTACCTCTGGAAACTGCTTAATCAGATCCTTCCCTCTGATCTATTGAATTACTGTTACTCAGTGACTGCTAAATAGCTCATCTGCCTTTAATCTCAACTGTAGCGCATTGTTCTCTTTCTTCCTCATACTTTAGTTCCTCCCCTCCAGTCCTACATTACCAGTTTCCATCCAGACTATGTGAAAATATGAGGTAGTGTCTTTAAAATGAGATGGAGGAAGCCAGCCAGCAAACCTGCTCAGAAAAGTTACCCTAAAGCAATCTGTGCATGGAAGCATAAATAAAAACTTTTCTCTACAACAAATTGACTAGGCACTTTTTGAAAGGATCCTTGACAACATTATCAAAACACACCTGGCAAAACCCAGACAAATATCTGTAACTATGATTTCCCCTCGTGCCCTGACCCTGCTGCGATGTTCCCTCCCATCCGTGTGCCGAACAGGGACGTGGCCCAGCCTTCCAGGGTCCCTACACATAGCAGCAATGCTGCTGAACACACAAATCGATGCTGCAGCTCCTAAAGCAGCTTCAAAAGATAACCAGTTCTGCTGAAGGTTTACTTGTTACCAGCAACTACACCTGCTAGTGTAGGGCTCCTTCCTTTCCCTAAGTGAAAGGAGGTGTGTATGGCACTTAAGGATGTGAAGAGAAAATAAGATCATATTTTCTTGACATTTAATTCAGTGGGATGGAAGCTGTGGCTGTGCCATTGACTTGTTCAATTTAGAAAAAAAATGTGTGCAGTTAAGTACTCTCAATTTTCTTTGTTCTTCAAATTTATTTAAAATAAACTTTTCAAAAAGCCTGGGGAACACAGAAAGGTTATTTGTTTCCTTATTCCTATTAAAAGTTGTTGGCATTAGAACGCTTCCTCTAGGAAGTTGTTACGGCATTTTCTGTCCTTGGTGACCATATTATTGTTAGATACAGCCTCACTGCCTCCCAGAGGCTGAAGTTTTAAAGGCAAAAATAAAAATACATACCTTCCCTTGCTGTATATTCATTGTCTTCAATGACTCTTGCTAGTCCAAAATCAGCAATTTTGCACATGAGTAAGTCCGAAACCAGAACATTTGCTGCTCTCAAATCTCGATGGATATAATTTTTTCTTTCTATGTATGCCATCCCTTCTGCAATCTATAACAAAAGAAACAACTATTTTGATATTTCAACACCACACAACACCATCAGCAGGTCTGAGCTCTCTATTCTTTCAATGTCTCAGCAAAGCTGCATCCATTTATTCATTACCAGTATCTTTGGAGCAATTTTTAGACGTAAGCAAGGAAAGGGTGATCGCCATGGAAAACTTATGTGTAGATCCAGTCCCGCAAAACTATATTTACAGTAGCAGCTTCAAAATTATTGTTTGGGTGACTAAGAGCTGACAGGATTAGAGATATGTATTAGAGACATTTCCTGAAACAAAATCTTAATTAAAATGTTCCTGAGATTTCTCCTAAAATATTCTCCTTCCCAAATTATTAACCAGTTATTTTCCAAATACTAAGAAAATGGAAGGAATTAATAAGTTAAACAAGATACAGATGTTCTTTTAAGGACTGATGAAGCAACAGTGCAGACAGAGCTAAAAAAAAAAAAACCAAACCAAAACAACAACAATTTTCTATTTACCCAGTATAGGCCTGGGCAATCAGGAAACAATTACTAAGACAGGGCAAAGAATTTTATCTTTGTTTTCTTCTACAGCAACATGTACCTGTTCACACATGAGGAGTGTCTGGCAACTGCCAGCTCTCAGATACTATCATAAGTAAATTTAATTTGTATTTCAGCAGCCCAAATTAATTTCCAAACTGAATTAAAGATGATTTATGTCCTCAAAGTATGCACTGAGGATTATTTTTTTCAGTATTTGCCCACACTAACTTTTTCTTATTTCCCCTGAAGAAAAACATTTCACTTTTCAGAAAAAAAGTAACTGAAATAATAGTTTCTAAACTCAGAGCAATAAAACTGATGTGTAGATTGTTTTCTCTCCAAAAGTTTAAGAGGAGCTAGGAGAAAAGAAAAATAAACCCAGTGCTTTTGAGCTGTCAATTTTTCTCTCCCCCATGAGACTCTGGTGATGGGTCATTCCCAGGCAAGGCCTGTGGTCCAACCTGTGCCACAGGTACCTCTCCAGGATGCCTCCGGGTGGGTGACATACAGCTCATTCTCAGCCACACAGTTTGGGGAATGCACAAGCTCTCAGATTTGCTGATGAAGCAGCAGTGAAGCAGTGAGGGTCCTTCTCCAGTGCCAGTCCCCTGCACACTCATACCCGGGCTCTTTCTACCTCAGGAGAAGACAAGCGCAGGGATCTCTTCTCAGCACCCAAGGTGCTCATTTCAGCCGTGCAGTAATGCAGGCAGGAGCACCCGACCAAATTTTAAGAAAACATTAACGTAACTTCTGCTTATCCATTTTTAAAAAGTCCCCGAGGGGTACTGTGAAGGCACACACTGCCACCACTTACAACACAAAACCACATGGTCTTTGTTCCTCTTTTTTGGTTTAGGCAATGGAAAAATAGAGCCACTTGCCCTCCCACCTCCTTCCACTGCAAACCTCTTCTTACAAACTGGTATATTCTTCAGAGCAGAACGTTACATTGCCCTTGTACAACACAAGGGGGTTCTGACACTAAACCAAAGAGAAACTCCGATGATGAAGTGTATGAATAACACCTGCATTTCACATTTTCTAGAAATAAGTAAGACATTTTATAATGAAGGAAGCAGCTACCAGCAAATGATTGCCACAGAGTCCTACTAGAGACTTACAGACAAAACAGAAGAGTAGTATTTGATTGGAGCCCACTCTGCCTCTTGTCTCCCCATGTGATTACCTGGGTTTGAGGAGGAAGGCAAGATGAATGGGAAGGTTTTGCTGTAAGATCAATGCTGAGATTGGACTGGACAGCTTGGTAGATACGACAAAGATGCAGACAGGTCCACCAATGTGACCAAAAATACATCATCCATCATGAAGGAATCAACTTTCCTACTACTTTCCCGCACAGATTTAACATTTGGGTGAACTGCTGGCTGGGGAATGAAGAACCACTTCACAAATGAGACGTTTGTGACAGCAATATTTCGTTTTCAAGCCCAACCAAACAAAGCCATTGGAAAGACCATTTTATTTCCTCTTATTTGTGCCAGACTCACTAAAGTCATCATCTGATTAGTCAGAAATGAAGAATGTGACACCAAATGATCCATTATGTTTTCAGCAAATAAAAATTACATTTCCGTGAAATTCCAGGACAATGGTTTTGACTGCATTAAATCAGGGAAGTTCAAAGAAGCCATGTATGTGCAAGCACTTGGGCATGCAAAAAAATCCCAAGTAGGAAAAGAATAATGGGCAAGGAATTTTGAATGGGAGAGGGAGGGGAAGCACTGAATTCATACATCTGGTCATGTTAAACCTTTGCTTGTGGGAAAAGAAAAAAAAAAAAAAAGATTTTTTTTAATGAAAGGAATGAGTGCCAGAGCCCATGTGATAACTCTTTATGATAATTGTTGGGTTCTCATTGCCAAATGATACGTTAAATGCAGAGAAGTTCATGGGAACAAAAGAAAATTAAAGCCCTTTTCCCCCTCTTTTAATAATCATTGGTAGCTGTCAAGACTGTTCGACTACATGTACAGTAGTACATGTAACTAGTACTCAGGAGCAGGACAGAAAAGCTAATTTGGGCGTCTGGAATATTCTTTGTGGCCTTTAAGAGAGGATTCTGCCCACACAACTGTTACGACCAAGAAGTGAGCAGTTTCCCATTCACCTTTAACGAATTATTGACACGCTTCTAGAAATACCTAAGTTAAATCCCTTTACAAACAATCAACCAACAAATCTCCAAATACTAAGAACTGTGCACCCTGGGTAAAAGGGGCAGAAAAGCCTTCTCCTGGAAGAAATAATTCACTCCACAAGACAACCTCTCTACTGTAAAGGTTCAGCTAAAAGTCATGCAATAAAAGAACGACTGGGAGCCACAGTTCTGCAGACAGTCCTGTTACTCATTTGGGGTATAATTTCAGCTGGCAGTGCTCCTTCCTCCCTGTTTCTGCTCTTTCTACCTGTAAAACAAGGTAATGACTTAACTTTCCAGAACATTCGTGGGTCATTTCACAAATAGGTATAAAGCTCTTTCAAAATCCTGAAAGAAAATGGTAACAAAAACACGGAGCAAACAGTGTTAGTCTGAAAACACATGTTCCCTACTTTCTGACCCATTTTTTGTAGCTTCTGAAGGTGTTTGGGGAAAGCAGGAAAAGCAGCAGAGGACTTTGAAGTAGGATGGGGAGAACCTAATAACTCAATGTTTTAGGAGAGGACACTCTACTGTCACAGAAAAGATACATCTTCTGAAAAGCAAAAGCATTTGGTCACAACTCAGACTTCCCTGGTGAAACATCACAGCTAAACAGCATGTGGAGGGATGGGCACTTCCAAGCTTCTTTTTGGAGAAAGGAGAAGGTGAAGCACCTTTTTTTTTTTTCTTTTTTTTTTTTTTCTTGTTTCTTTTGGGGTTTTTTGCTATAAAAACAGAGAAGAACTGTATCCCTTCATAGCTCCATTTTTCAACTCAAGGACTTTTTCAGCTTCCATTCCCAGGTCTGTGATCCTCTTTTGCAAGAGCTATTTCAAACGTGTTTTACACGTAGGTTGCGATGCTGTTTCTTCATGCAGAGAGGGGGTTATGGCAACATGTTTAATGGATTCCACGTGTGCATTTCTAGGCTGTATGTAAAAATGTGGAATACTAAAGAGGCTAGATGGGTTTGTTTAGGGTCAGCCTGATAGGATGCTTTTACATCATGCTGAGAAATTATTATATCTTGTTGAGAAGGAAAACTAAGTGACAGGAATCATGAAACAAAGTGGAACGGAAATGAAAGGGAATGAAAGAACGGCCAAATATTAAGACTTTTTTTTTTTTTTTTCAGGAAAGCAAATTTTAAACAACCTGGAGGGCCAACAGGTACAACCTCGTAGGAAAAAAGTCTCAGAAACAACTTAATCATAAAAAAACCCCAGCAATTACAAGTGCAAAGGCAAATCACACTTATTGTAAAGATAGTGTCTGATGAGAAAAATCTAGCTAAGTTTTACATGGTCAGAAACACCCAAAAATGATAAAGCCAAATAAACAAAGTATAAAATATACCCAAATATGACAAAAATTGGAAAAGGTCATGCACAAGAAGTATAGTATAATATAGTAAGTATAAGCAGGGGTGCATTAGCAACAGGACAAGAACAAGGAAAATATTCACATTAAATGAAAGATTAAATGATAGAGAAGACCACGTGTAAATCGTACAGAGAAGTTTTTAAATGCCTGCTTTTGCTTCAGTCTCCACTGAAAAGGCCAAGGATGCATGCATCGTTAATGACAAAGAGCTATGAATATAGGATGGAAAAGGGAAAGAACTGGGTTATGACAGTTTTCATGGATAGACACCTGAAAACTGTCAGTAAATCCAAACTCGCACATCCTCACTCTTGCAAAGCAGGCAAGGAAAATGGGAAAAAACGATAAGTGAAGAATCAGTATTCAAAGGTGAGCCTGGGTTTTATTTGGTTACAAATGAAGTCAACTCTGGGAAAAAAACAAAAGGGTGTGACCTACAATTTCCCAAATATTGTGAAAAACTGAGATATGCTGCCTTTGATGGTCCAGCTGTGAACAGGACGTCCCGGCTCCATCCCTCCTCCTTTGCTTGGCAGGTCGGGGACAGTGGCCTCAGAGCTACTCTCAGTTGCCCACCAGCTCAGCCCGGGGCTTGGCGGGATGCTCCTGCCAAAGCAGGTAAAACAGCCCAAAAACCAGACTGGAAATGAGTGCAAAGTGTTACCATGGGAGGGAGCATCCTACTGGTGAAGCTTAAGCAGAGGAAATAATGAAGCATATCCTGAAGGTCACACTGCCTTAAATTGGGTAATTCTCAGTTCCTAGGGAATAGTCTCACTAAAAACAGTCTACAGTTTTGAAAGGTTTGAAGCAAACAGACGTTATTGATCTGGACAAGATTGTCTTTGGTCTGGATTAACCAAAATCAGGTTCCTTTCAATAATGTTGAGACACAATTAAATAAAACACACTTCTTGATCACAGAGTTTTCAAAAAGAGAATTCATTGCCACGTGACAAGAGGGTGTAGACTCTTTACATCCGGCAACTGAAAACTGTTGAGAAAAAGTCGCGTTTTAATCTTCAAGTGATATATAAGTGTAATACCAATTTTCAGTTTGCAGCAGTGTTCATCCTAAAGGTGAAGTCAGGAATGGCTGCAAAAACATATTCCTCTTGCTCCAGTCAAGCAGCTATGTAGTCAAAGCAGACCCACAGGGAGTAAAAGGATTATTAAAGTAACATATATAATTATGCACTGGAACATTAGAGGGTATCATTAAAAATTAAAGAAAGCTGAAAAGGAATATGGTGAGACTGCAGTGGAAATCTCCCAAGGCCAAATAAGAGTTAAAATTAATTCTGACATAGGACGTTCCCACCTCCTCTTAAAAAAGAAGGGAGAGAGGGATTAAAACACCGCATCAAAAGTCTCTAGTAATTTTATTCTAAGTTTATTTTAATTTTAATTTGTAGCCTTAGAAAGCAGAAAGAAGATGATAAGAGCGATAAGAGTTGCCAATGAAGTCTTAAATCATAGAAGAATTAATGAAAGTATCAGTGCTGCACGGGAAAGAAGAAAGACTGGTTTTGTGACAAGACTCTGACCAGTTTGAAAGGTATGACGTGTGTTCAGTAACAACCAGTACCATTTTCCTAACCACAGCCACCATGCTGTGTGTGCTACACGGTAGATAACAGATTTGCGTAAGAAGCAGGAAGAGTTTACACATGCAAAAGGTTCACTGAATTTGCGGCATGTTTTCAGCAGCTCTTATCAAACAGAAGCAAGTACTGTTTTGAGAACTGTGAAACGAAGAACCGGGAGCTCCTCAGCTAAATTAACTCTGGGGCAAGACAAAAAACAACCAGTAAAATCCAGAATTTGGCAGTCACTGTAGTGCTGAAGGAGCTAGGCTGTTGCCTGTAGATGACCTAGGAGAATATGTGCAACCTTCCATGCTAACTGTCTTGGCCATGGAAGATGCCACGGCTCTGCTCTGTACTAAAGTAGGTAGTATCTGCTTGAAGATACATTTGCAAAACTCAGATTCCTTAAAACACACTCCTTTCAGAGGCTTCTAGCATTCATTTCTAGTGGCCAAAATCATCTTTGCCAAGGCATAGCTAACACCAGATTTCCCCAGCCCTATCCATATGCACTAATTAAAATACAAAAGACAAACCTCAGCTCTTTCAGAGGGCAGATTGCTTTAGAAACTGAGCTGAACCACCTTCCTAGCAAGCACTTTCTTGACATGTTTTTCACAAGCCTGATTTCATAAATTGTGATTGTTAGTTGTAATTGTTTTACTGGGCTAGCCCTTGGCTAGCATCCAACACAGCCGTTCACCCACTTCCCCCCACCCCCAGGGGATAGGGGAGAAGATTGGGGGCAAGTATTAGGAGGCTTGTTGATTGAGAAAAGAACAGTTTAAGAATAGAAATAAAAGAAAACTTAAAAAAACCTCAACTAAACAACTCTATTAAAATAGTAGTGATAAGCAGCATCACTACATGATAGCAGTAATAAGATATGCAAATGAGGGGTAACCCAGTGCAACTGCTCACCACCCACTGATAAGCCCTGCCTGTTCCCGGATAACGATCCTGGAGAAGCAACAACCCTGAACTGAAACCGCGATCCCGGAAGAGTGAGAGCCAGAGAGAAAACCCCTGCAAATCCACCCCCACTTTCCAGTCATCCCCGGATAATATACTAAACATGATGGGATATGATATGGAGTATTTCATTGGCACATCCAAATGCCAGTTTTGGGCTTTGCTATTCACTGCGCTTCTCCCTCCCAGTCCCAATGTGGCTGCGAACAGCCAAACCTGGTGGCCTTGAGCTCCAGCAGCAACTAATAACATTAGTACTTTTATCAATGATGTTCTCAAAGCAAGTCTGAACTGAAACCAAAACACAGCTCTTCTAACTACTGAGAAGAAAATTAACTCTATCCTAGCCAAACCAGGACAATCCAATGGGTCAAGTTCTTTCAGCAATTTTTGTTGCAACAGATGTCTTGTGTGCACACATGGGGATGCGAGCCAGCCAGCTGTATAGCGTGATTGGGAGCAGGCCACACTCATCCAACATTGCAGATGCACAAGGGGAAAAAGAAGCCAGTCCTCAGCTACCATTTGTTGCATTTTCAGTCTTTCTGAGAAATTGGGATAGCCTGTTAAACTGCCTTTCCAGAATGGTGTGATTAGACAGTCATGAAAAGCTCAAGTGTGTGTCCACCAAGGCAAAAAAATATGCCTGATCTTACTTAAGTCGTTCACCATGAGCTTCCTTCCATGTTTTTTTGGGTTTTTTTTAACCTCTTCTGAAACATAGCTCTCCAAATTTCTTTCCCCTTAGGCTGTACAGAAAGGTTGACATTACTGCTGTAAGAATAAATTAGTGTTCCATTTGTACAAACCAGAGTCATACCAAAAATGCTAGACAGATTTTATGTTCTCCTTTATATACAGCCCAAGTTCTGGAAAAGTGTGATCCACAGTTCTGCAGTAAAACTACCATTACCTTAGCAGCAGGCCAACAGAGTTTGAAAATATTTTTGTCTGTCTTATGCCCTAAGGACTCATCAATTAATATTCAGACTGTTAGAGTTTGAGAAGACCAGTGGAACATCTGTGTTGGTCAGAGGGAAATCTCTGGACTGTAAACCACGCGCACCCTGCAAGTCTATTCCACACAGTCCTGTTACTACCCAGTGGCATTAAGGTCTCTTTACAAACGTGCCCAAAAATCCTACAAAATTTTTCCATAAGAAAAATCCCAGTATCTCTGTTCCAAAGTTCTGTTTGGACTGCAACTAGAAATCCTGAGAGAGGTCTCCCTGAACATCCCTTGAGGATCACTCTTCAACCCAACATATGGCTTGCTCTCAGGAATTTCTGATGATAGTCTACATCTTAGGTGAAGAGAGGGACTACTCATATTGCCTGTGCTGCACAAGGTTCTGGCTCTGAGAGGCTGCTGTCAGATCGGGGTGACAAGCGATGTCCATTTCAAGTGACTCAACCTTCAAAGCTTTGTAAATGATACTCCCTGACCGCTGTCATCTTGGAAGTGATTAATCCAAGTTGTATGCAGTTATAATTGCTCTCTAGCTCGTTAAGCTTTCTAAGCCTTACATTTCTGAAAATGCACCATTCATTTAAGATGAACACAACATCCTTAACTCCAATAAAAAAGTATGCTATAACACCACATGTGCTTTCCTCTCCACATCCTGCGTCTCCTTTCATATCACTGCTCATAGATGTTCATTTCTCCTTTGAATTTTACACAGTATTTTCAAAGCTATATTGTTTTTCCTGCCCACTGTTGTCTCTCCAGACCATGACCTGGGATTCAGCAGGTTTTCCACACCTATAAATCTTTTGCCCCACTAAATATTCAAGGACAAGTTACCCAAAGATTTCAGAAAACTTAGAAAGCCTATTGCTATACTGAACCAACAATTATAGAAAAAACAGCCCCTGCCTTGGATCTATGCTAAATAAAAATCTATATTTGATATATTGAAGATCTATATAACAATATATGATATATAATATACCATAGAATAGAATAGTTCCAGTTAGAAAGGACCTCCAACAATCATCTAGTCCAACTGCCTGACCACTTCAGGCCACTTTAACCAAAAGCCAAAGCATGCTATGAAGGGCATTGTCCAAATACTTCCTAAACAGTGACAGGCTTGGGGCATTGGCCACCTCTCCAGAAAGCGGGTTCCAGTGTTTGACCACTCTCTCGGTAAAGAAATGCTTCCTAATATCTAGTCTGATATTTATTTATATAGCAATAGTTATATAAAACAGTTATTTAATATTATCATAGGGAATTTTTTGTATAAATCACTAATGTTTTATTATATCTTTTTAAAGCTTTCTTGTCTTTCTTCAAGAATTGTAAAAAGTTAGTTTAATAGTGTACACCAGTCTGCAAACTCTAACACATATTGAAAACCCCAAAAGGTTGGTGAGACAATAACATATCAGAAATGCCTTCGTTACCTATCAGTAACATGAATTACAACTTGCAAAAGCACCATTTTTACTCTATTTTCTATATGACTCCCTGGACATTTAATGCTGGTAAATGTCTGAGGTGAAAACACTGGGCTCCAGGCACCTTTGATCCAGGCTTTGACACACAAATCACCCTGGGGTCTCTCTCTACAGATTTAATTTATGACATAACTTACATATTTTGAAACAATCATATCAGTTCATAAATCAGATACTAGTACCTGAAACATAATTTGATTAGATTTCATTTATTTAACAGCAATTTACATAAGAATTTGAAACCAACAATAGTCCCTTGAGGTTAAGAGAAGTTTGATCTATTGACCTAACTTAAGAAGTAAAAATGACAAATTTATTAACACTGAAGGAGTCTCATAAGCACAAACTTACAAACTTGCACTTATACTTTCAACTAACAGTTGCTTGACTTGAAAGCAGCCTTTCCCCAAAGGAAAGCAGTTGCATACCACTGCCATCTAAGCAGGGTACCAGCAGTATCCAAGAGTTAAGCCTAACTTCATGTATTCCCTTTGAAAACTCTTTTATCTACTCTCTCCTTTCAAGTAACTTTATTTACTCAGACCAAAACTTATTTGAAAACTAAATTCTTTTTTATTGAAAAAAACCTTAGGATAAGGTTGTGCAGCGTGAGTTTCAGACTCAGAAAGAAATAAACCCCCCTTAATTTTAAGCACATTTCTTAAAATTTACCTGAGCAGAGAAATCAATTAGCTTTGGAAGCAACAATTTACTTCCTTCATCACTCTTCAGAAAATCCAGCAAACTTCCTGTTACAACAGAGAAAGATTAAGTCAGTGCAGCTAATTACCAAAATAAAGGTCACACCAAGTCCCCAATTTTCTGGATCACAAAATTTTTGCAGTGAAATGTTTGGAATGTATTTTCAAACTGACTACAGGAAGGCAGTCTTTTTACGTGATCTAACAACAGTAACATCCAAGTCCGCATGCCAGGCATTCAAGTTTTTCCATTTTCTTGAGTGTAGAAAACTCCCATCAGACCATACCTTAGTTCAGTGGTGTTGAGTTTGATGAGTACCCTAGCCTACAGACCATCAGGAAAGCTGTCTAGGAGAATCACACGTATCAATCCTTTCCAAGTCATAAAGAATAAGTGGTTCAACACTCGTTTATCGAGTTATCAACAGAACGGCTTGAAAACAGAACAAACCAAGAAAAACTACCACCGAAGACAACCTGAGAGGGAAACCTCACTTATTTTGTGTAGTGATCCTTTAACAAAGGTTGTCCTTTTCTAGTAGTGCAGCCATCCTTGCAAGACCACTCATCACTCACCTTATTATATATGTATTTATGAAATCAAGGGCCACATAAGGCAATTTCTAAGGTTTGTTTTAATTGCCCTGCTATGACAACAGATACAAAAGTTAGGTAGGGAGCTCAGAGGAACCAGAGCTATTTTGGGGATTATGCTCTGCATCTGAAACAATTAAAAATGCTACATTTAAGAAAACTGTAAAAATAGTTTATTTCACAAATGCAGCAATGAATCATTAAATTAAAGCCTCACTCATCCTCTAGGTTAGGTGCTCCTTCACTTTCTAACAGAGGATTCAAAAGAATAAAGCTAAAATCCCAACTTTTCATTTTTTATTCCTTCCTTTTTAAAGAAAGAGGACTAATTTAGGAGAAGCAGAAGAGTTTACTAAAACACTGCTTGCAGTTCCACTGTTGTTCTCACCTTTAGCCATGAATTCTGTTATAATATAAATAGGTTCTTCTTTGGTCACCACAGCATAAAGCCTAACAAGCTTATCATGCTGAAGTGTTTTCATGAGGTTGGCTTCCTCCAGGAAGGCTTGAACAGACATCGTTCCAGGCTTCAGAGTCTTCACAGCCACTTTCGTACTATTATGATAGTAACCTAAAAGGGGGGAATACAGTCAGTGCACTTGAGGTCACTTGGTGCCGCACAGCGTCCCAACTAGAAGGAATTTGTAAAGCAGGTGAGGCTGGATTCCAGTAACAGCTAAGAGCCTGAGAGCAAGTGCCAGATGTAGCACAAATATTTATGCTAGAATTCCTTTTTATTTTGCAACTGATACAACATTGCAATGAAAAATAATCCATTCCCCACTTTTAGAAATCAGTTATCTCAAAAAAAAGTATAGCAAACAAATTATCACACCAAGTTTTCATTTACAAGTAGCCCATAAAATATTCAGTCAAGAGATGTTTTAATAAACGCCTACATAAACTGTCTCAGAATCTAATAGAACCATGGATTGCTTGCAAGATTCTGGAGTATCTTTAAATACCATGATTATAACCACTTAATGCATGCCAGTCTCATGCTTATAATCCTTTCTGTAACAATCAGTGCTCAAAACAGAGCATTACAGGAAAGTGCAATCAAATGAGGATTCTCGTGACCAATAAAGATACACTGCCAGGACTGCAATCCTCCAGCATTCAGAGCAAGATTTAAAATGTGATAACTTCTTATCACATAGTCCATACCAAGAGTGAAAGAGACTGTGGCTGTTCAATTTCTCTGTTTATCAAACCTTCTAATGTAATATTATAATTGTATAAAAAGCAACTATCAATAAAGAGAAAAGCAGTTAATTATTTTCTGCTTTAATGTTTTCCAAACATAAAATAAATGTTAAGATAGTATTAAAAAATAGAGTAGCAAGCACTGATCCTAAAGTTTGTCTCCTGAAGTAATTTAATTTGAAAAACAAAAGAAATAAAAGAAAAAAGAGAGACAGAGAGAGAAATAGAGAGGCATATAAATGCAACTCTTGTCCCCCACCATACCCATGTCAACATTGCAAAAATATTTCTCAGAGGAGGCAAAACTTTCATGACTCAATGAAATAGCTTGTGATAGTTTCACTGGGCTAGCCCTTGG